CCCTCCTCTCGTCCGTATTTCCCCCGCTGTAACCTGAGCTGTCTATTGATGAATGTAGGGCTTTCTTTTTCTTTTTTTTCCTTTTAATGGAAGGGAGGGGACTTGGCGTTCCCGGAGGGGGCTCTGTTTACAGTCGTTCTCGCAGACCCGTTTCCCCTTTCTTCCCGGACCCCACTTTCCTTTCTTTGCTTTCCCCTCCCGGTGCCCCGGCCGGCGCTCGCTTGGGCGCCAGCCACGTTGTTGTTGCTCTTCGGGCTGCGCTGCTGTGCCCCTGGGCCGCCCCTCCCTGCAACCTGGACGGCCTTCCCTTCCCTCTCTGGCTCCCGGCCAGGGTTTGGGGGCTTCCCTCTGCCACTTTCCTTCTTGTTGGGATTTGTTTTCCTCCCAGGGGGGAGACTGAGAGTCCTCTTGGGGCCTGGTGTTAATTGGGGGGGTTGAAGGAGCAGTTTCCTTTGGAGTTTAAAGCTAAGGTGCTGGCTTACCGAGCCCCAGTCTCCAGGAGCCCATCCTGGGCGCGAGTGGGACCTTTCGGGACTCTGCCGTCAGCAGGGATTGGCTTCTTTTTTTTGAAGTGGCTGCTGTTTTACTATGGCCTGCTCTTTGCTTTTCCAGACACAACAGCTGGGAGCCAGAGGAAAATATCCTGGACCCGCGGCTACTCCTGGCCTTCCAGAAGAAGTGAGAAAGTGATAGCAGTGTGGGAAGGGGAGGATGTTGGCCTGTCACTCAGTTAAACCGGGCAATGCTGGCCCTCCAGGGGTCCTGAGCTTGGGCTGTGGTCTGAGGTCCCATAGCAGCTGTCACCAGGGCCTGTGCTGCCAACTCCAAGGCTGTCTGTAAAGGTGGAGTGAACTTTGAGGTCCCGTAGGAGTCCCTCCTCCTTCCCTCGGCCAGCCTGTGCTGTGTCTAGACCTAAGGAGTCCCTGAGTAAGGGCTGCTTTTGGTGTTTGTGAGAGCCAGACTTGCCGAAATGAACCTTCTTGATTCCTTCACGAAAAGTTCTGGTTTCTCTTTGCCTTTTCTGTTGGTAATTTGCAAACAGGACTGACAAAATCTAGGGCAACAGGTTTGCCATTGAAGTACAGACCTGGCCTCCCCACCGTGCACCAGGGTGCCATTGAGCAAGAGAAGGCTCAGAGAGGGAACTGGAACACACAGCACAGTGCTGGGCATGTTACGGTGTATCTGCAACAAGAACGTTTGTTTTTCTCTGGGCTGCAAAACACATGGTACCAAGTGAGCACCATGGTGCCCCCCTGGCCAGTCTCAGGGACCAAATTTGTAGACGTAATTGCTTCCGTAATTGTAGACGCTGTATCTGTTTTTAGGTAGGGGACTTGGGTTAAGAGAGAGGCCTTGAGATGCTTGAGGAAAGGGGTGGTGAGAGGCGGGCCGTAATGGATGGGCCACCCCATCTGGGCACGGGAGTCCAGAGGTGCTGTTCCAGAGCAAGGTATGGGCACTTTTCTGGGGGTTGCCCTGTCCATAGAGGCAGATCAGTTAGTCACTCACAAGCTGTTCCTGCCCGGGTCAGTCTGGCCATCTAGTTCTTTGGTAGCTCAAACTNCAGCACGCTTGGGGGAAGGTATGGGCACTTTTCTGGGGGTTGCCCTGTCCATAGAGGCAGATCAGTTAGTCACTCACAAGCTGTTCCTGCCCGGGTCAGTCTGGCCATCTAGTTCTTTGGTAGCTCAAACTGTGTCGAAGCTTTTTAGGACATTTTGGGTTTTCTCAGAGGGGCTGCAGCAGTGGAGTGAAAATAAAGATGGCCTTTTGGCAAGGTGAGAAAGCGAGGTGAGCACAGGCTCGCCCCGTGCCTTCAGGAAAGTTCAGTGGCCTCACTGTCTCCTGCTTTGTTCATAGCTCAGGTCCTGTGAGCCTCGAGGGGAGGGGAGCCAGAGTGTTTCTCTCCAAGGCATTGTCCTGACTGTCTAGAGAGCACGTTTCTGACTGCACTTCTGGTCACAGCGCAAGGGACAAGATCTGGTTTTGGCAAATACTAAGGGGCAGGAGAGCTAAAGCCATGGGGTGGGCTGGATTACATCCTGGGGGGGAGAGAGCTGGGATGGTGGATGCCCTGCTTTCTCCCGTAAACCAGAAAGATCCCACTGGAAACTGGGAGCTGGCAGTTACGTGCTTGGTGTGGAGCTTAGTGTAAGGAAAAGTCTCGATTCCTGGAGGAGACCCACAAGGCACTCCTGTTCTCTTAGACAGGTCAGGGCTGCTGTGGAGTGTCAGCTCTGTCTGGTTGTACTCATGGGATTCTTTCAGGGATCACCTGCCCGGCCTCAATGAGATGAGGTTCTCCTGTTTTAATTACTGGGAAACTTCTCCGAATAGAGCCTCTTCCCCCCAGGGGTAGCCTGAAACACAGGCTTTCTCTAGGGTGGGCTGGAGGCCATCTCTTGGTTTCATGGCCCTGAGTCACGGGCCTGGTTGCTGATTAAAAGTGTCCTGCAGGCTTTGAGCCCTGCCCATGGAATCTGCTTTCAGTCCTTAGTCCAGAGCAGAGTCCAGGAACCAGAGGGGTCTTAGAAAAGGTTAACCGTGCAGACTGTGAGCCAGGGCACTGGCTCCAGGAAGACCAAGTGCGGAACTAGACTGGAGCTGTTGGTTTCCTGTGCTCCTCGAACCAGTGAGACTTTGTGCCGGTGACAGAAGGGGGGACACTGGGGGTAGATCCTCGCTGCCTGCCTTGGACTCCGGTTTGAAATGAGGGGATTGGACCACATGGCCACAAAGCCTCCTCGTGGCATTCTAGGATTCCCACAAAACATTCTTCCTGCGGTACGTGGCCTGGATTCGCACGGGGTTGTTTTAAGTGGGGTCGGAGAAACCGGGAGAACTGGTCATTTCCTGGGTTTGCTCGGGTTTCTCTGACTTGTCCTTACCCAGTGCAAATGGAGCAGATGGAGGTACAAATGTCACCGACCCTGCAGAGACAGGTGTGGGCCTCCACCCGGTGAAACCCGTGATGAGCACTGGGCTGGGCCAGGTGTCGGGTGTTTGGCGCCCTGGGGATCCGCGTGGCGGGAGGCCTGTGGCCTGACTGCTGACTCTCTCCAGGGAGCAGGAGAAGGAGGTGCAGAACCGCAAGAGGGGCAAGCGGCCCCGGGGCCGGCCGAGGAAGCTCACGGTCATGTCCTCCTGTAGCCGGCACGCCAAGCTCAAGGTGGGTGTCTGGGGGCCCCGATTCGGCTGCTTACCTTCCGGGCACGCAGGGCAGGTGCAAGGTGGGGGTCGGAGGGTTGAGGGCGTTGGGGAATGAGCTCTGCCTTCCTCCCTGCTGCCACTCGGGCCTCTGCCAGTGGGGCCCACGGCAAGCACAGGCTCCTGCCCCTCCTGAGCTGGCGTCCTGTTCCTTCGCCATCCGTTCTACGCTGCTTTCTGCTGGATAGCAGAACCATACTTGGCTGCTGACCGTTGTTCTTTGTCACCCCCAGTGGCTTATGGGGAACAGAAGAGAACAGGAAGCATGCACACAGTAGGTGCTCATAGGTTTGTCAGGTAGGTGCAGGTAATGGGACAGCCCACAGGTACACACACCTGGAACCCGTGGCTCCGCCTCTTCCTCCAACAGTTCAGAGGCCAAAGGGGGCCTGGGGGCCTGGCCTCCGGCTTGGATGTGTCTTGGATTCCTTCCTCTAGGGCACTGCCCCTGGTCCCTGAAACCACACACTGGCCAAGAGCCTGGTCATTTCTTACGTAAAACTTGCCTCCCAGGAGGTTGTGGGAACCCGCCTTAAGTGGCGTTGGCTGGGCCACAGCGCCTGCAGCACAGGGACCTGGGAGGTGGGACGGTGCACTTAGTATCCCGGGTGACGCCTGGGAGCGGGGAGGACAGTGGTTGGTTTTTCGGTGTGTGGAAGCTTCCAGAGGGGTCAGATTTGGATGTGGAGAGATGGAAACAGGATGCCCGCTTGCTGTAGGTTACGACGCCCTCAGGCAGGCCTCCATTTGACTCTGAATTCCCTTCCGGAATTCTCGGCTAGGAAGCCAGAGATGGGCTGTGTCCCCTCTGAAAACTAAACGTCCAGATGTCATGTGTGTTGCTGTCTCTGTTGCTGTGACTTTTTTTCATGAACCACCGGTGGTTCTTTTTCCTATTTTTTACTGCATTTCATGGGGTCTCGTTAGGGACCTCAGACATCTTTCCTGCAACACTGGGGAGCAGTCTCCCTCCTGGCTGCCTCTAGTTTGGACACGATAGGAGGCGCTGGCTTCAGGGTGTCTGGCACCCCTGGGAAATGTGCATTCCCAACCCTGGGGACAAGGCCACAGAAGGGGTGACACCTCCGTGTTGTCTTGGCAGGAACCCGACACCACCTCCAAATGCAAGTCCAGCAGCAGCTCCTCCTCCTCGTCTTCGTCTTCATCGTCCTCCGATGAAGAGGAGGACAGCGACCTGGATGCCAAGAGGGGCCCCCGGGGCCGCGAGACCCACCCGGTGCCCCAGAAGAAGGCTCAGATCCTGGTGGCCAAGCCCGAACTGAAGGACCCCATCCGCAAGAAGCGGGGCCGCAAGCCCCTGCCCCCGGAGCAGAAGGCGGCCCGGAGACCCGTGAACCTGGCCAGGGTCCTGAAGACCGCCAGGAAGGACCTGGGCGTGCCGGCCGGCAAGCTGCCCCCTCCGCTCAGTGCCCCCGTGGCCGGCCTGGCGGCCCTGAAGGCCCACGCCAAGGAGGCCTGCGGCGGCCCCAGCACCATGGCCACCCCCGAGAACCTGGCCAGCCTGATGAAGGGCATGGCCAGCAGCCCCAGCCGCGGCAGCATCAGCTGGCAGAGCTCCATCGTGCACTACATGAACCGCGTGAGCCAGAGCCAGGCCCAGGCTGCCAGCAGGCTGGCACTCAAGGCCCAGACCTCCAGCAAGTGTGGCCTCGGGCTGGACCTCAAGGTGAGGACGCAGAAGGGGGAGCTGGGGTTCAGTCCCCCGGGAAGCAAACTTACAAAGGCCCCCAGCAGCGGGGCCATGGAGCAGAAAGGAGCCGGTATAGGGGGCTCCCTACACAGCCACAGCGGCAGCAAGGGCCCTGCCGGTTGCCTGGGCCCCCAGCCTGCACCCACCCAGGAGCTGAGCCTCCAGGTCTTGGACTTACAGAGTGTCAAGAATGGCACACCTGGGGTGGGCATGGTCGCCCGCCATGCCTCAGCCACCAAGGGTGTCCCTGCCGCCGTGCCAGGCGCTGGGAAGGGTGCTGGGGCTGGCCCCACCTCGGGGAATGGGGCTGGCATGCCAACCGACACCGGCAAGAGTGAGAAGCTGGCCTCCAGGGCTGCGGCTCTGCCCACCCCTGCAGGCAAGAGGGACTGTGCCAAGGGTGGTGCGGCCCCAGGAGGGCAGGAGGGGCCGGGGGCCCTGGGAGACTCGCGCAAGGCAGCCGCGCTGTCGGAGATGAGCACTGGTGAAGAGAACAGCAGCTCCGACTCGGACCCTGACTCAACCTCACCGCCTGGCGCCGAGCAGAACCTGTCTGTGTCGGTGCAGACCAGCCAGGACTGGAAGCCCACCCGCAGCCTCATTGAGCACGTCTTTGTCACCGATGTCACTGCCAACCTCATCACGGTCACCGTGAAGGAGTCCCCCACCAGCGTGGGCTTCTTCAACCTGAGGCATTACTGACACCGTGACTGCCACTGCCAGGGCCTCCCCTGCCCTTTTCTGGCCTCTGGTTTTGCTCTAGTAAGTGACTTGTACCCCAAACCCTCTCCAGGGGCCAGGTGGCCCCCTTCAAGGGCAGGCTTGGAAGGCCTCCTGGATCCCGGCCCTGCCTTTGATGTCGGGTCAGGGTGGTGCCTTGATGCCTTGCCGGGGCCTGGCCAGGCCCCATTCCTACCTCTGGGTCTTCGCTTCCCATTGGCCTCAGGAAGTCTGGGCCCCCACCTGCGCTCGAGCCAAACCTCTGCAGTGCCCTCCCCGCCTGCGCCTGCGCCTGCGCCTGCGCCGGCCGTGCTGGTCAGCTCTCCCAGTTCCCCAGGGCACAGGTGTTTGAGGAGGGAGCTTCCCCGGGCCAGCTTGGCTGTTCTGCCCACTGGCACACGCGAATGTGTTGGGTGTGGGCNCGCCTGCGCCTGCGGTGGCCGTGCTGGTCAGCTCTCCCAGTTCCCCAGGGCACAGGTGTTTGAGGAGGGAGCTTCCCCGGGCCAGCTTGGCTGTTCTGCCCACTGGCACACGCGAATGTGTTGGGTGTGGGCAGGAGGCTAGGCCTGGAGGACTGTGCCAGGGAGGGCTGACTGTGCCTAGAAGATGAAGTGGGGGGAGCACAGCAGGAGCCTCACTGGTCAGAATTTCCCCCCAGAACTGTGCCTGAGGTGTCAGAGGTGAGGGGACTTCACCTCCCTGTCCCTGTCCCCTTCCCTGACAGCTGAGGGCTATGGCCTTAATGTAAAAGGATAGGTCTTAGAGTAGGGGTGGGGGGTGGCCGGGAACCCTAGAGAGGGTGGTTCTGATGTCATCTAACCCTGGTTCAGACAACTGCAGCCCCCAAACCTTGACCCCGAAGCCCTGCTGGGCTGGGAGGGGCCGAGAGCCAGCCTCTGAGTTTAGGGAACAGAGGAGCAGTGCTGCTGCTGCCTGCCTGCCCGCCAACCTGTGTGAGGACCACCGTCCTAACCTGGGCCCCACAAACTGCCCCCAGCCTGCTGGCCGCGCTGGGGCCTTGCCATGGTTCCCACCCGTGGAGAAGCACCACCACCCCTGACAATCCCCCCACCTCTGGGGGTTCCACCTCCTTCCCAACTGAGAAGCTATCTCCCTGTACCATTTGGGAAGTGGCACAAAATTAGAGTGGCCCACCTGGCAGAGCGCCCCCAGGTGGCTGTGTTGGGAGCTGCCCTGTATGGTGTCTGACCAGCATCAGGATTGCTGTCACCAGGGAAGGAGAGGTGGGTCAGCCTATGGCAATGTTGGGTCTATGATGCCAAAAAGAAAAGTGGGGCTTTGGGGGCTCCCTTTTTGTTTCAGTTATTGGTTAAAGTCAGCAGGTGTGGTGTGGGGCACTTCTTTTATCCTCACAGCCTTGCCTGCAGGGGAGAAAGAGCCTGGACTTACACAGTGGGCTGTGGTTTCTGGGGGGTGGGCCTGCTACAGCTCTAGTCCCCACCCCCTGCCCCATCCCTCACCTTCCATGCCAAATAGGAAACGTGGCTCTTGTGTAGCCAAATCTCTTTCAGTAGTGTGCCTTTGGGGACAGCCTGTGTCTGGAACCTCACCGAGGGGCATCTGCGTGAAGCTGTGTCTCACGTGGTGGCCATGCTGGCTGCAGTAGGGATGCGCCCACCTTGGCAGACGACCTTGGAGCACCCAGTGACCAGGCTGGAACTGGGAGGTGGGCAGTAAAGGGGGAGTTGCCCCTTCCACTGCCCAGGCAGGGAGGAAGGGGTCCGAGCATACTGGTCCTCTGACTCCAGCCTCCTCTCCTGTCCCCTGGGTGTGGTTAAAGGGGCTCCTCTGAGCTCCTCTGCCAAGTTCTGCAGCTCCTTTCCTGCCTGGTACCCTGGTACCCCGCTGCCTTAGAGGCTGCAGAGCCAGGCCAACAGCAGCTCCCTCCAAGCCCGTGGGGTGGCCCTGGCTTCTGGGGACTGCAGGCTGACGTGACAGCCCCAGCAGCCAGGTCTCCCGACCCGACTTGGTGCCTTTCTGTTTACCAGCTATTTCAATCCCAAAGTTTGAACCTGCAAACACCTTGCTCCCGGCCACTTTGCCTTCTTGCTGTTTTTTTTTCTCTTGGTGCTATGACTCCAAGCCCTTTGTGTTCAGCAGGGCGCCTGTGTGCACTCACGCGTGCAGGTGGGACCTTCGCAGGAGTTGGCCCAGGTGCTCTGAGCTGGTCGTCATGTTTACCAATAAATAAAAGTAGTCTTGTTTTATTTGCTGCTACTTGTGTGTGCGCGTGTGTGTCTAGGCATCGGTTATATGTCCAACTTGAGATTTTTTCGTTCCGCGGGAGTTCCCACCATGTGGATGGTCACTGTGTACATTGAGTGGGTGTTTCAGTCCTGCCTCATCTTTCCGTTTGCTTCTGTAATGGACAGGAAAAAGTGGCCCATCTGTCTCTCTTCTTCAGAGGGTTTGGCATATTTTTATATATATATATTTTTGGTACCAAAAAGAGTGTTCCTTGTTTTGGTTACACTCAAAATTCTCACCTGACTAAGAGAGCTTTGGGCCTGGCTACAGGTTTCATTAGGGGAAAACTTGGGGAAGGACCAGAGCTTTGGACCAGTGCCAATCACTGGCTTGATTTTTGTTTTTTTAATTAAAAAAAAAAAAGTTATTTGTGTATACCACTTCTAATTGCTTTAAACGATGGCTGTTTGCTTTCTTAAATAAAAGAGAACAAAAGTGAATATGTTACTGCCCTGGGAAACTTAAGGTCTTTGTTGAAACCCGACAGCAGCCCAGCCCCCATATTTAAACCGGACCAACCAGTTCAAGGAAATGCTTCCCCCAGGAAGCCCACCTAGGGGGGGAGGGGGAGAGGTAGTGCCTAGATGACCAGATTTCTGCTCACATGCATCTAAAAACTCTGCATTTTCTAGTATTTTGGGGAAACTAACACTAGCGATAGGTTGCAGGGGTTTGTTTAGGCTGATGTTAATTTATTTTGCAGGGAGAAGACATTAGCAAATGTGTCAGATCTTTGTCTTTCAACTTAGTGTACCAATAAATTTTTTTTACCTTGTCAGCCTGGTGTATGTCGTGAGTGGTTCCTAGAGACACAAGTCTCTTCACTTTCCCTTTCTTGAGGCAAAATACTTCTCCAACATGACTGAAGGGGGGGGGGACCAAGGACTTTGGGACAGCTCCCTTCCTGGGGTGCAGAAAAAGATTTTTTCTAAGCAGAAGTGTGGGGTTGATTATAAAAGGGAGCCCCTGTACCATCGTTTCACAAGAGGGTGGTCTGGCACCCCAGGGGACACTGGGCAACGTCTGGCTGATTCTGCTGGTCACAACTGGGGGGCAGGGGTGAGGCGATGCTACTGGCCTCGGTGGGTAGAGGCTGGGATGCTGTAATAAACACATCAGAAAACTCACTTTGAGACATCTCCCAGAAACTGATACTTAAGGTTAAAATAACCCCAAATTCCTCCCCTCCCCCCAGTATCCAAAGATACCGCGTTGGAAAGCCACTCAAGCCCCCGAATCCACCACATGTGGTAACACTTTAAAAGGACACAGCTATAAAATTCCGGGGGAGTTGCTGCAAAGCACATGAAGCTTTGTGTCAGCGGGGCTGCTGCCAGGCAGGCCTACCCCAGGCCCCTGATAGAGGTGATTTGCTTACTAAATAACCTTCCCTGGTCCTTTCAGTCTGCATCACCCTCTGCATGAATTTATTCATAAATTTCAGCCTCCAGGGAGAAGCAGCTCCCTTTGAAGTGATGAGAAGTTGGGCCTAGATGTTGGCCGCCACTGGTTGGAGGGCTAGTTGGGGCAAAGGCCTGAATGTTTTAGTTCAGGAGGAGGTTCCCGCTGCAGCTAGAAATGCAACCCCAGGTCTGAAACTTTAAAATCAGATTCTGCTGGCTTATTTTCTTTCGTTGCACCTTCAGAGGCTGGAGCTGTTTTGTTTTGGAGAAGGTGGGTAGGGACAACCCTAGCCGCCCTGTCCTGGGGTGCTTTGAGAGCTGCAGAAAGGGGTTGGGGATGGCCAGGAAGGGGCAGGCGGGCAGATTTGGAGCCGGCTCTGCCCCCCGGTGGCGAGCCAGGCTTTCCTGGGAGTAATTTATGCAGAGCCTTGGACGGACAGACGGGTGTGGGCCCTGGTCCGCACCGGCCTTTGTTAGTTTTATGCGCTGCTGAGCTGACTGCCTAACCCACCGCCTTCCTAGAGGAACGGGGTGGGTCGCCCAGGGGGCCCGACTGGGCCCGAGGGCTCAGCCCAGTCCCCGCGCCCCTGGGTCCAGTCCGAAGGCGCCTGGCATGATCCAAGACGGGGATCCGGCCGGCTGGACACCGCCTTCCCTCCACCCTCCCGGCTCGGGGGCCTGGCTGCAGGAAGGGCGCAGAGGGGACGCGCAGGGTGCCCACCCCTGGGTGGAGGAGAGGTGGCGTTCCCTGCTCCTTTCGGGACCCCCAGAGGCCAGGGCGGCCCCGGGAGGGGGTGGGTACCCAGGAGAGGGGCTGAGACCATCGCCTCTAGAGGGCGCGCGCGCCCCGCCAAGTGCGGGCCGCTGGCGCTTGGGACGCGCGGGGGAAGCTCCCAGCTCCGGGCTCCGAGCCGCCCGCGGGAACCGAATTACAGGACCCGTACCCCGACCGCCCGAGCGGCCCCCATCAGCCCCCGTTTTCGAAGTCTCTGGGAGAGAACCCGGGGCACAGCCCACGGCGCCTTTCCCGGCGTCCAAGCCCTCGAGGCTGGACGCCCGTGGCGGAGCCCCGACAGGCACTGAACGTCCCCGTCTGGGATTCCAGCCGGGACCGAGGCCCCCTGTGAGCCTGGAGGACTTTCCAGTGAGAGGAAACCAGAGTTCGCGCTCCCAAAGTGCTGGGGCAGGACTGCTGGCCGTCGGGTCTTCCGCGCACAGCACAGGGCCTCGGCTAGGATCCTAGCATCAAAGGAACAGGAAAAGGGACCCGACCCGACGCGCTCGGAAAAGCCATAAACATTCCAATTCAACCAATGTGTGCGTGCTGGGCCGGGCCCCGCGAGCCAGCCCTGCCCCGGGGACGCGGGGGCGCGGTCTGGGTGGGAGGCGGCCCCGGCCTGGGGCCTCCGCACCTGGTCGCCTTCCCGGAGAATCTGCCCAGGGAACGGAAACCCGAGTTAGGAACTCTCGGTCAAGGCGAAGGTCGGTGGTGGCCAACCCACCCGGGAAAGGGGACAGTCAGCGCCGGTCCATCTCCCTAAGCGGGAGCCCACTGCGCCGCCCCAACACCCAGGAGCCCACGCGCGAGGGAACTTTGGAGGAGCCGCAGGGCCAAAGTTTGGGGGCTGACGGACCACTGCGACCCTCACCAAGCCACCCCACTCCACCCCGCCCACTGACTTTACCTGTGGCGGGCGGGGGCCTCTCACGTCGGAAGGGTACTCAACGCTCGGGAACCCGCA